TGTGTGTGTGTGTGTGTGTGTGTGTGTGTGTGTGTGTGTGTGTGTGTATGTGTGTGTGTGTGTGTGTGTGTATACTACGTGCGCCCACGCGTTTCACCGTAACTATTGTCTGCGATAGTTTCAAATTTCAACTACGATGTGTCATAAATCATAATATAGTCTATCTCTATATTATAGACGAAGCGATCTACTGAAAACATGTCTGGCTCAAAATTAAAATATATATAAACATATTGAATCATTGAATGGGTTTAACAGATTAACAAACAGTAAAAATCATTAAATTTTTTTTATAGATTTATTTAGATTTCAACAGCAACCGTTATTAAGTTAGCCCGTCGTCGATTTTACTATGGAGGGAGGATACAGTTTTGGAACATGTGTATAATGTGGAGAGGATTTGTCACTGAAAATCCGGGGCGGGTGGGTCACCAATCCGAGAGCTAGCGACACTGACCGATGTTTGACCTCAGAACACGTTAATAACTGAGGTCAACCACCGTGCGCAAAATAAATTTTTCTAAATTAATTAAACTTATTCATTTGAGAATTATATTCATATGAATTTATCATAATAAATATCATCGCATAACTCAGATTCTCTAATGATGTCGGTAAATTTACGGTCACTATTTTTATATTTTATTTTTTTTAACACGCGAATTGATTTTACGTGTTAAATATTAATGAAGAGGACACAGACTAAAAAAAAATGGTTAAAAGTTATTTCTTACGTTCAAAAATTTGCTTAAAATAAACCATAATAAAATAAATGACGTAATTAAACGCCATTAAATAATATGTTGATACTTATTGCCAATACTATGCTAGGTAGTAAAAATGTGAAAGAATGTTTTATTTTAACTTATTACATAACTACATGAGATATTAATTTAAATTATCGATTTTACTGTGGATACTGATATCACAAAATATTATGTTCGTAGATAAAAAAAGAAAATGAGTGGCCACAAATGCTACCAAAAAGATATTTACAGACTTTAGTGACTTAAGTATGATGGCATACTACCATCCTCATCAATTTCTAGTTTTACTGTATTTATAACTTCCTACTTCAAGTTTAATTTAATCAATGAACTTTCAAACTTGGATATTTATTATGAATTATGACTTACAAGATCAGAAATTTTATCATTCCAACTGTAATAATTATAATACTTATGTACTATGTACTATGTAGCCATGTAGGTACGTAGTTACTTTATGTACATAAATTTATAATAGATAACAATACGCACACCACAGTCTACTACATGGGCATTTTAAAAGCATAAGACATGTTTGAAGATACCTACATCATGTATTATTATCATTATAAAAAAAACACAAAACGAGTGGTATAATAAATTTAAAACGTATAAATATAGAAATATCATAAGCATCTTAAACACGATATCGAACAGCAGTTGAAAGTTGAACAAAAATTAGGTAACTAAGTACCTATTGCAATTATTTCATGATGATATTATTACTATCATTATTAACATTAATAATACAAAAATCACAAATAGTCAAGTTGCAATAAATGACATTGCAATAAGCATAAAGATTTTTCCATTCCATAGGTATTTTTTTCTGCAGTTATCAAAAGTTTCAACCAGCTATTTTTTCATAATTTTTAATATAGATATACGCATGTAATAAGCAGGTTGAGCAGTTTTCCTTAATGTGGATTAAAGACATTAAAGTTATTTTAAAAATGTACTTATTCACCTATTACATAAGTAATTAAAATATTAGACAAATTATATATTTATATCATGAACTCATGAGTAATAAAAGGACCTATTATTTATAAAAGGGAATTTGGGACAGTATTTAACTTAATATTTTACTAGATGATTCGTTTATAATATAAAACAATTGTTGTTTCAAAAAATATTAACGTTTTAAATATATTTTCAATTTTTGTTACATAATTTTAAGTTAAATTTAATATTAATTATTATTATTATTATTACAATTATAGTTAAAGATTTTTATTTTATTTTTTATTTTTTATTCCAAAGCAAAAAATTTTTCGGGTATTTTGACTTTCAAAAACCGAATTTTAGATGAATATTTTATAATTTAAAAATATTTAATCAAGATTTATTTAGTAGTGTAGAGTGGTGGTACAGGGGGAATTCGCATAATTTTGGTTCTTCCGCTTATCAAAACTGTAAGTACTTACCTACTTATAACGAATAAAATTACTTGTTCAAAATATTCTGAGTAATATTGAAAAATAAAATGTATGCTATTATTCAAAAAATTAAAAACCTTAATTTAAAATATTTACTTTTATAAACATTAGTTTTTTCTGAAATGATTTGTATTATACGTTAAACACGAATCACCTCATATACATATCTCAGTAAATACTCATTGTATATTGTACAAATATTCATTTAGACTTCAAAAGTTTATAAACAATGCTTATGAAATTACGCTCATCTCTTTTTTTTCAAATTTCAATAATAAAATCTTTTTAAAAAATAGGAAACTTGTATTAAAATTTCAAACCCAAGGATGAATATTACATTTTTATAAATTTTTAATTAAATACATTATAATTTAAAAACTTTTATTTTTCTATGAATTTTGTTAAATTCTAACTTCAATTAATATTTAATGCTCATTATAAATTACCTATTGTGGATTTACAGTTAATTTTTTTTTGTTTCTAATACCTAATATCAATTTATAAATAATTGCAATTGTAATTTAACTCCTTGTCAAAGAAAAAAACTTTTTTTGAACATTTTATACGGAAAAAAAACCCCTAAAATATTATAAATGGCAAAAAAGTTGAAATATGTATTGAAAATCATATCATATTTAAAAAACACTAATAAAAACATTTGGTGAAAAATTCAAATAGGTACCTATCTAAATATTATGATAATTCATTTTTAAATTTCAACAATATAACAAAATAAGAAAATCTATTTACCAATCTTTTTTTTTTAAAATATAAAAATTAAAAATAATTATTTTTACATTTCTATAACTTTCATAACAATTTACCCAAAAAAAATTTTGAAGTTTTGATGTTTTGTAAAGACGGTACCTATGTCTACCACGGTTTAAGATTAAGTGTCTGCCAAGGTATTCACAAATGTAGAGATAATGACGGTAGAATTTGATATATCAATGATAGTGATATAATCATTAATCATCATGTTTTCTCAGCAAATTTACAATTACTAATAAATTAAATCAAATATTTATTGTATTATAGTAATTGGTTATACCATAAATGGTGTATTTCACTGTTTAATATTTTGCTTAGGTCTGAATAGGATTAAATATTTCATAGAAAAAGGTTTGGACCACGATTAAATAATCACAACTAATCTGTTGTAAAGGCACCTTTATACTTCATTTATTTCACATTAATCATTCACATCGAACAGGTAAATAATTTCTGTAATTTATTGCTATGTGTAAAAATCTATAACCAATATTTCAGATTAAAAATGATATCATTTAATTTATTACAAAAATTGAATGTCACTGGATCAGCTAGTCAATTTTTTTGTCGTAATATATCGGCTTCATCAGTGTCTATGGCCAACGTTTCAGATCCTATCCAACAACTATTTTTGGATAAAATTCGCGAGTACAAAGGAAAATTTGATTCCAAGACATTTGATCCTTCAATTGATAAAGGTTACAAGGGAGATTTAGAAAAGATTGGCAGACAGTACAACATTGGCGCAAATGAAGATCCTACAACATTTCCAACAATTAAATTTGATGAACCCAAAGTTGATCCACAAGTTTGAAAATAATACATTTTGTGTATTTTTGTTCTAATATAAGTAGTAATGTAATTATACAGAAATAAGATAAAAATATTATAACTCATTTATAAACATTAATTTAAAAAGTTCATTATTGTTTATTATTTATAGTGATTCACATTTAAAAGCTGATATATTTTCCAATAATATTGATAGGTATATAATATACTATATACAGTACTGAATTCTTCATGTCCAGCATAGTATTAAATTGTTTGAGCGTTTTTAAATTTGGCCTTAAAAAAAAACAGTTGAAATTATTTACATTAACTTTTTAATATTATTGTAATTAATCCACTAATAGTAGCAAATAAATTTTCTGATTTGAATGATGGTGGAGCAGAAACAGTGTTATCTATGAACAGAAATCCTGCAAATAAATTAATTGATTAATAAATAAAGTTTAATTATAAATTATAGTTAATTAAGTTATAAAGCTGGGGTATTTTATTCTTATCTATTACTTATTGGCTATTTATTTTGATGAGTGTCATATTTTTCGCTTTAATAATTTTGTTGCTTTGTAACATGAATAATTATGTCTTAAAAAATAATAAAAATTATAACATTTATGTAACAATGAAATAAGGTTATGTAATTACCTAAAAAAAAAAAAAAACTGTATAAAAAAACATTTAATATGTTAAGCATTTTGCCATTTTTTGGTATTTTCTGAACAACTACTTTTAAAAGAAAAATACTAAAAATAGGGTTCTTTAAAAGAAAATAGGTCCAAGACTCCTTGGTCTCCTTGCAAAAGTTAAGTAATTAAGATGCAAATAAATTTAAATAAAATACTTGTAGAGTGAATTAGTATAAATGATAAACCATAAACACATTAATTATTGATGATAGTTAGGCACTATTACAATCTAAACATAATTGCATTTATTTTCATTCGTTTTTTATATTCATAAATTATCCTTGGTAATCAATGGTATCTTTACAATTGAACAGCTTCCAGCAACTACTTTACATTGATGTGATCAGAAATATTTAACTATAAAATTCCAGCAATTATACCATGTTGCTTTAATAAGTAAGTCTTATGTAGTTATATAACAAGGTATTTTTATAAATTATTTACTTTTATTTTTTAGGACATATTTGTATCAACATACTCAAAGTTAAAAAAGATTGTTTTTTAACTATCATAAATTCTAATAAACTTTATTTTTAAGTCTCAGATTTTGTTATTTAATTTTTAAGTGTTGTATGTCTTGAATTTTCAAAAACTGTATTTATTAACATACAGAATAAAGAAGAATATCAATAAAAATATGTTGACTTTTAACCCAACTGTTTTAATTAGTTAAATAATTAATACTTACAAACTTCTTTATTAAGTATTTATTAATGAGGAATGGTTTTTGTTTGAAAATAGTTTATGTTTGATAGATTTAAATTACAAGATGTATAAGATATAGTCTATGTTCAAAAGAATAATTTCTTAATGAATACTTGTAGCCAAGGACTAAGAATATAAGTATTAAGTAAATTATCTTAGTCCTTGCTGTGGCATGTGTCATACAATGGTAAGAAGACCAAGATGAGTGAGTGGTCTTGTCTTTCATCCATATATAAGAATATAAAAGTAAAAAGTGAAGTACAGTCTAAAGACTATAGTCGCTACTCGCTATGGAATATGGATCATATCATAAAGTAATATTATTAGTCTATGCTACAGATATTGAAGTGCAGTGAACTGTAACTAGTAACTACTGAAGTAATTATAAATTTATAATATAAAAATTATAATAATAAAATATTAAAAATTATAATAGTACCTATCTAGTATCTATAACCGTATATACTAGATAACACTTATAAATTTATAATCATTCTATGATAATACTATCTAGAAGTTTGTGTACAAACCACAACCACAGAATAAATTCGGTGAAATAACTGGGCTAACTAGAGTTACCATAAACCAATGTTCTGTCCTCGGAACGGTAATATGTGGTAGTTCCCAAATAGTTAAAAACTGAATTTTGTGAGAAATACGGAAGATGTTGCTCAGCATGGAAAGTTTTTTGATAATACGAAATAAAATCATTAAAATCTGAGAAAACTCAAAATTGTCCAGCTGAGTTGCAGCCTGCAGGCTGACGGTCAAGTCAACTGTGCTTATATATTGATTATAAATTCTATATTGCCTTTGCCGTCGTTGAAAATATTTCAATTTTAATAGAAAATAAATAATCTTTAGTTTTACAGTAAAATGATTTTTTTCAGTGGAGATTTTCCTGAATAGGAGATAAATTGAACGAGGTAAGCGTTTAAAGTTTCTGCCCCTTGCACTCACTCTCTCACACACACTCATTTTCTCACTCTCTATCATTCTCTCTGTCTCTGCTTGGATGAAACTATGACGGTACGGATCATAATATATTTTTATTATTTTAAATAGTTAAAATACTGATATTATATTATCTTTTATTTAATGCTTAATTCTTAATTTAGAATCTTTTTATTCATATACTATTATGTTAAAGAATTAAGAAAGATAAAATTAATTAGTAATTCAATTCAAATTCGACTTATTTAGCAAAAAAAATCATTATTTGGTTATTATTTATTAAGTCTAAATATATGAATGAATCAATTTTATTAGAATATTTAATAGTTCATGATTAAAAAATAATATTGTATACTAGTAAACGTGGTATTTATGTATAACACTAAACAAATATTAATTTTACTTAAATTTAAAAAAGTAACTAATTCTATTAAACATTTATGATCACATTTATTCCCTGAGTAAATACATAAATGTTTTCTACTAAGAAATGAATGAAATATATAAAAATAAAAATAAAAATTGCTCTTATTCCATTATTTATTTATTGTCAATTTACAACATGTTATCATTTTAATATGAAATATTAAATGAAAATAATTTTTATATTTATTTATTTAACACTATTTTTATCCATAGTTATATGAAGTACAATATTGTATATCACAATAAATTTCTTTAAAATTAGATAAACTTTAAAGTTTAAATGACACTAAATAAATATATATATATATATATATATTTATATAGTTATTATATTAATTACAAAAAAAATACTATTTATATAAAATAATTTAACATACTGTCTAAAAACTTTAGACGCATGCAATTTTAAATTAAAATTTTTGAACTTTTTTGATTATGTTTGTATGTATTAAATCATAATTTGAATTTATAAACATTAAACATATTTTATCAAAGAAAAAGATACTTTTATTATAATTTTATAAACAATAAATCATTAGCTCACTTATTCAATTATTAGTATTTTAAATTGTAAAACCTTATGTAGAATTGGATAATCATGTTTTAGGCCAAGAATGACAAACCCAAATGATCTTGTGGTCTAAATAATGCATTATAATCCTATCAGCCACATACAAAATTATATATTCCTTTATTAGATTTGGATCCATTGCAAAAATAAACGTATTTTGTTAAAGGGTGATAAATCTGACAGGCCATAAAATTATCTATGATGAGTCATAAGTTTGCTCCCCTGTTCTAGTTAATGAGATTACGTAAAAAAAAATTGGGCTTTTTTTCTATATTTTAAATTTTAAATTTAAAAAAAAAAACCTTAAAATTCATATGATCCAAATAAGATACTTTTTAACTTGACATTGATACCATTTCTGATTCATATTTGGTATAAAAAGAAGTTATTTAAGCTATTTGCAATTGGTTTTGTGTATACAGAAAATGTATTTTGTAGATAAACTAAATATTATGTTAGCGATGATTTCTATTATCTCATATTTTAGTGTCTTACTTTCATTAAGGCATGGGTAATCAATTATTCTACTAATTTAATTATTTTTCTATTTTATCAGTTGTGGTAGATGATAAAATCCAAAACAATTAAATTTAAAAAAAAAAAAATTTACTTAGTATATACTAACTAAATATGACATTAAATTCAACATACTAGTGTATAAATTTAGAAGAAAAAATATATTAAAGAAATATGTAAACAGGATGATTCACATGCTCTCCTTTTTAATTCTTGAATAGTGTTATTATTAAAATTCTGATCTTTTAAATTTTGAATTATTTTAATATTTAAAGACTTTATTTTTAAATAGATATTTGATTTTTTATACGTTTATAAAATATATCATATACATCATTATTTGTTAAAAGTTTTGTTTATATACATTGTTAAGATGATTTTTTGATAATTTTGATGCATGTATTATATATAAAATAAAATAAGTAGCTTTTGAATTATTCAATTGTGTATACTAAAGAACTTAGCCTATTTTTATGATTTTATACAAAAAAAAATAAATAAAATAAAACATAATGTGTAACATTTAATTGTTGAGCATTAAAAATGTTTAGAAATTATAAAATGTTGAAAAATATTAATTACTACAAATGTAAATTAATCATCTTATACCATATCAATTTCTAAATCCTTTGACATTTGTCATGGGCTAATTTATATTTCAAAAGCTACATTTTTAAATTTTGATTTAAATAGATACTTATACTAAATATTAGGGAAAAAAAAAGGTAGGTAAATAGATATCATTATGCTATACATTTACCTAAGTGAATCACCTAATTCATAAGGTATGTTAAATTTGTATTCAATGATTTATCATTGCACATGAAAATCGATTCTAAGCGGAAATGTTCTGTCAACCTATATCACTGAGTGTATTAATTTATATGTTTTTTTAATACAGCTATTAAATTAATTAAAATAATTGATAGTTTTTTATGAATATTAATAATTAATTAATATTTTACCTTAAAGTTTTAAGATAACAATGGTTAAAAAAACAATTATTTTATTAAAATATTGGATTTCTTGTTTTCCTTAATTTTTTTGTTTTTTTTTTCTAATTCTAAAAAAAGTATTTAAAATTTCTGACCTATTGAAAGTAGAAAGTAGATCCAATTCGTTATCAAAATCACTCTCTAGTTAAAAACCAAAACTTTTTTCAACTATTTATCATGTACACAAACACAAAAAAAACATCTTTACAAAGTAAATACTTTCATTACCTACTCTGTTAAAAATCTAAAATCATATGTTTAATAATTTATATTTAAAAGGTGTTTCTTGTTAAAAAAATATATATATATGTTGTACAAGATACTCTTTTAATTGCATAAGCAATCCTTAATTAAAGTAAAAATTTCCAAAAACTTGAATTTAAATATACTCATTATTATTGAAAAAATGGGAGTATGAATGATCATTTTAAAATATGTATATTATTGTTATTTTTCTAAAGTAATTCAAAAATATATTTCAAAAAAAATACTTCAACTTAATTGTATAGAGTAGTATTTTTATAAAAATATAATTTATAGTATGTACAAATTGTTTTTTGCTTAGTAAATATGATAAAGTATAATGTATATGTATTTTTACCAGTTTAATTAGTTATAAAATATTAGAATAATTATTTTTTATATTTTTTATAATTTTTATAGAACATAAACAATTCAACAATTTTACTTAATGAAAGACTGTAAGTCATATTCAGTAGCACCACCACTGGCAGATATTGTATTGAGGAATATTTGGAATTTGGACATGGCATTAGACGTAAATACTCGAACTGAAACAGTTGAACTATTGAGTCGTGAAGCTGATTGCCTTAAACACAAACTTGAAGAAGAAAGAAAAAAACTTAACGATGTGACATGTATATAGTTTGATATAAAAATTATATTTGGTATATTACATTTTTATTGATGACATACAAATATTTTTAGTGGCAAATGTTGCAGAACGACTAGAGGAAGTTACATTTCTGAATATAAAACCTAGACGTCTATTAAAAGGAAACCAAGCTAAAATGTTATGTTGTGATTGGTCTCCAGATAAACGGCATATTGTTTCATCTTCACAGGTATATACTATAAATTTATAAATGTGTAAAAGTGTTTAATAAAATATGCTTGCTTGGTGTTGGTGCATACAAATGCTAGGATGGTAAATTACTAATTTGGGATGCATTTACATCTGCAAAAGAACAAACTGTTACAATGCCAACAACTTGGGTGATGGCATGTGCCTATTCACCATCAGGCAACTTGGTTGCATGCGGGTAAGATTGTTTTAGGGTAGATCATTGATTTTTGTAATATATTTTATTTTGAATAATAATAAAAAAACTTTTTATCAATTATGCCTAATTATTATTGTATGATAAGTTAATATAAACATTTAAATTAGATACCAAAACAAAAATTATTTTTATTAATAGAAAAATTATCTTTTTGTATTTTAAGTGGTTTGGATAATAAAGTAACTGTGTTCAATATATCTAATCCTGAAGAAGATCCGTCTGCTAAAAAGAAGACTGTCGGTACACACACAAATTTCATGTCTTGTTGTTTATTTCCAAATTCAGATCAACAGGTAGTATATAGTTTTTTATCTATCTAACAACACATTTTAATGTTTTATTCAATTTGGTTGAAGATTTTGACTGGTAGTGGAGATGCTACTGCTGCACTTTGGGATGTTGAATCAGGTCAAATGTTACAATCCTTCCATGGCCATACAGGTGACATAATGTCCATTGATTTGTCACCATCAGAAATTGGGAATACTTTTATATCAGGTGTAAGTTATTGTTTTTGTATTTTTTTCATACATAACTTTTTTTAACTAAGCCATTCATAATGTACTATAATTCATCATAATATTAGTATATATAATAAAATATAAATTGAAAAAATTCAGACCATGAAAAACATTTATCAATTATTACATGTCTGTAACTAAAGTAGTGTTGAGTCACTATTAATTTTTACATATTAGAATTTATCAAAACATTAAATATAATATTCTCAAATAAAAAAATGTACATAATTTTTTTTTTAATATCATAATTACATTAACTTTTACAATTATTTATAAATTATATCATATAAACTTCCAAACATCCCCAACCAAAATGGTTTCCGTTAATCAAAATGGTTTTGAATGTAAACCTAGATATTTTATTGTTTAAATAGTAATGATGAGTTAATATTTAACGAAATAAAGAGGGGAAATCTCTTGATCTTAATGAAAAGGCAATAAAGGATTATTTTGATCTTCCATTTATTTAACCATTAAATCATTTATGATTTTTTAATAAACATAAATAAATCTTTGAAAGCATTAGTAATATGAAACAAATTACTTTATCACAAAACTGTTTTGAATAATTATTGGAAAATATGCTAATTCTTTTAAATTTCTAGCCCTAGTCATAATATCTGTTGCAAGTAATAATGAATTATTATTTTTACAAAAATAAATTCTTTTTTATTTTTATAAAAATTGTTTTTAAATTATATTTATTTTTCTTAGAGTTGTGATAAAATGTTACTTTTGTGGGACATGAGAACTGGTCAAAGTGTTCAATCATTTGAAGGTCATCTTTCTGACATAAATAGTGTCAAATATCATCCAAGTGGAGATGCTGTAGCTTCTGGATCAGATGATTCTACAGTAATAATAACTATTGCTTTTTTTTTGTTCGATGTCTAATATATTTTTAATATTTATTAGTGTCGAATGTATGACTTGAGAGCAGACAAAGAAGTTGCTGTGTATTCAAAAGAAAGTATTTTATTTGGAGTTAATTCCATAGATTTTTCAGTCAGTGGTGAGTTTTATTTAATGTTAGTAGTAAATGTATCTTTTATTAAAAAGCTCCACTATGTTTAATAATATATTAAAAATGCTTAAAATAATTTATTAAGTAATTTAATAAAATTAATTTTTCATAATTTAAGTAATTAATATAATATTTAAATTATGTATGTTTAGGTAGAATATTATTTGGAGGCTATACAGATTATACAATTAATGCTTGGGATAGTTTAAAATGTGAAAGAGTGAGTTTATTATATGGACATGAAAATAGAGTTACAAGTATAAAACTTTCACCTGATGGAACAGCATTAGCTTCTGCGAGTTGGGATGCTTCTTTACGTGTATGTATATTGACTGTTTTAATAATTCAATAATTTATAACTTTTTTTAGTACAATTCTTATCAAATAGTTTTATCTTAGCTCAATCAAATATTTACCAATGTTTTTAAATTAAGTACTATAAAATAATTATTTTGAAATAACCATATTTTATATTTATATAAATTATTTTTGTATAAACATGTGATTGACTAATGTAAAATATATATTAAATACATTAACTTTTTTTATTATAGGTGTGGGCATAAGTTATGAAAATTCAAAAAATTGAATGTAGATCTAGTCAGTAATGTGTTCCATACAATTATACAAGTTAATGTTGACAAGTAAATAATGATATAATTATAGAATAGTTAAATATATATAAAAATTAATTATTATTGTATGTTGTATATTATATTGTTTTAAATATTAAAAATTATTCTATTTGGAATTTAAAAAAATATATACCAAACATTGAGTTTTATTCATCGTCTTCTTCATTAAGCTTATAAAACTGAACTAGCACATCAACATCTACAGGAACATAGAGTACATCAGCATCACGTTTCCATTTTACTATTTCATGATCAACAAATTCAGTTAATTGACTTCTCAAAGCAAGATCTGTACTCACTAGAAACCGTTGACGACACCAATGGTACAAGGTTGAAAATGGAACTCCTAGATTAAATATTAAGCACATATAAATTATTTTATAACTAATGTAACAAAAAAATTATTTACCTCCATATCTTTTATCATTTTTATTTTCAATACGATCTTTAATTAGTAATAGTAAGATACTTTTAGCATTGGATGTGAGCGATTTAAAAACATTATTCAAGCCTGAAAATGAATGTTGTGTTCCAATGTTTTTTACCATTAAAGATTGTATAAAATTAGTTTCAACTGTAAATGGTAGAAAATTGGTACAGTCCATCCAAATAAAATTGTAATCCCCAAGTTTTGTATTATCAAACACTAAAACAATATTTTAAAATTTTATACGTGCCATAAAGATTAAGTAAAATCTAAATTTCAAACCGATGACACTAACTTAAAGCAGAATTTACTTTATCCATGGATGCTATTAGATGTACTTTTTTTAGTGAACTAATCCTTGAAAGTACATGCTGTGCTTTGTGATTTTGCAATTCAACTCCATCCAAATTGTTTATAAGAATAAAAATATGTTCAGAAGTTTTTAATTTTAGTTTTTCTTCAATTTGCTGAATTGCAAGTTCAGTACTTCCTGGATGACTATCTAATTCTAATAAATCAATAGTTATAGATTCAAGTATCTATAAAATATCAAACAAGATATTAAAACTCAGAGGTGTTATTAATGAATGAACGTATCATAAACTTAAATATGATTAATACTTCTTTCATTGTAAGTCCAGGAAAAAATCCATTAATCACTAACACAGACTCTTCTGCCAACATAGATGTTCTAAATTCATTAATGATTTGTCTTTTGGAACCAAGCCCATAAAGAAGTATATTAAACCCTTCCCTAAAAACCAAATTACTCTATAATATAGTATAACAAAACAATTTTAAAACAAAGGATAATAGTAATTAATTACCTTAGCAAATACAACCAGTATGGAAAATTTGATATAATGTCTTTGTACATTTTCTTTATATTTTTATCATGTTTAGTATAAGAATTTCCTGATAGTTGATCAACCTGTTCTTTGTCTAAAATAGGGTTTTTCAATAATTTCAATGTATTGTCTGATGTCTTGGACTTTTTCACAGATTTAGCAGACTTGGATAAAAAATATTCATCTGATTTATAAATCTAGAAAATATAAAATTAAAATACAAATGTGTAAATAGAATTTACAAAAAATAAAAATACTTACAAAAGGAACTTCCTTCTTTCTCATAGATCTTCTTAAAGAAATATGTGTATTTTCTGGCTGTACAGTTTTAGGACTTTTATAAATACTAGAGTCACTGTCAGTTTCATCACTAATACTATAATCTGAATCATTAAATTCATTAAGTTGTTCAAATTTTTGATGTACTATTCCTGAAAAAGGATTTAATATTCTGTAGTGTATTTTTTAGTGAATGTACAATTATTAAATTAAGTATTAACCTTTTGCAATACGTTTTCGAACAGTTCTTGGTGTTTTTGGTGATACATGTTCAGAACTATTTGTAGTATGTAACTTTTTTAATTTTTTAGGGGTTTCATGATCTGAAGTGTCATCGGTTACTCTTAGAGAGGCTGGTAACAATAAATAATTCATTATTATTTATTATTAATGTATATAATGTATAAAAAAAAAATCAGTTGGCTGTTAAACATGATTAAATATTTTACTTATTACCAATGTCTGATACTTCATTTTTGACTTTAGATGTAGTAGATTTAGATGTTCTAGTTAATTTTTTGTGAAAATTTTTTGATTTAATTTCATTTTCATCACCAGAGAAAACTAAAACAAAAATAACAACTTTTATGTTTTGATATGTGTATATTATAGAAACTTAAAATTGATTGAAAATGTTAATTTATAAGAGATAAAATTGATGTTTTTAAATAAAAAAATCTTGTCACTTGAATACAAAATTTTTCTTTAGTTTATTTACTGTAAATTAAAAAAAATAACAATAATAGTGTTTTCATAAATATTTTTTGTCAATGATTGAAGTTTAAATTTTGGCAAATTTGGATATTCTTACATAAAATACACATTTTTTTTTATCCTAGACCAATTTTTCTTATTTAATAATTATTTAAAATAATATTAACAGAAGAAACTTGATACATTTTACTGTCACTTAAAACTTCAATTATCATTTCTTAGTTACAACTAAAGTTTTAAAATACTTATTATACCTGCACTTTATAGGTAAAAATTTGTTCAGTATTATTGTATTTCAATAATATTTTATATATTTTGTATTATTTTTACACTCTATCAAAATGATTGAAAATGTAATACATGGTTCCTTAAGTTGTTATTAGATTATTACAAGAACAAAAAAAATTTCAAAAATACATTCCGATAATTTTTTTTATTTTTCTAATGAAGATAATGTTTTAATTAACTTAATTATATATTATTTTATTTTTAATGAATAAAAAGATAATCTAAAGGAAAATGAAACATTTTATCATTGTACAATATAATTTTTGAAAATAGTAGATTAATTTCAAACTATACTATGAACCTATTCATACATGTATTGTCTTATAATTTATCAGATAATTACAGTTTATTGTATGCAATTCATTTTTGGCAATAATTAATTACTACTACTATGAAATAATTTTATTTTTAATTACAATAACTTGGAAATATAGACTGATGGATCATTAATACTCAGAATTGTTTTTTAATACACAATGATTAAAATTTAACATATCTGTAAGCGACCTATTCAAAAATTTGGTATACTACACATAATACCAAATGTAATATATTTAATATAATTATTATAATATTATTTTGTTTGGAAATATATTTAAATACTCCAATAAATTACAAGAAGGGTATTTTTATGGAATTGAAAACTAGTATAATAATACACAAGCGCCCTAATATTAATGTAATGATTTACCTTGAGGATGAATATTATACATTATTTGATCATCTTTATTATAATCTTGGTGAGTTTTATCATGTTGCGTAATTGTATTTTTTTTGTTAGATATTTGCATTTTATTTTGTTTGGAATGAAAACTAAACATACGTTCACCTGGCACATCTCCATCTTCAAATAATGCTGTAAACAATAATATTATATAATACTTGATGGCTATTGGTTAGTAGGTATTACTTTTTAAACAAAGATGAATTTAGATATATTGTGAGGATCCCACAAAATAAATAAGACAATGTATTAATTGATCACTTAAAAATTCTTGCATTTTGTTAAATTTATCAATAATAAGCAACAATTATAGTCTAAACTAAGAATTTGTGTACTTTTAATTTTGTGCTAGGTTTGTATATAATAATGGTTGATATTAGCTATAGGCGTATAGACTTCTGGGTCAGGTATGGCTAAATTCAATTTAATCATCCACTTACTCCTTCCTATCACAGTCATACAAGAAAAAATTATGCCTATGGCCAACTAATATATCTATGATTTTGATTTATTATTTTATCAATTTTCTACAGCTATAATACCTTATTACTTTCTTAGGTATCAAATACCCACCCATATATAAAAAAAAGGTCTGAGTAGGGCTAAAGTCCAATCATCTTTAATTGCGCGCATCTAATGATATTAGCAATCAAATAATTTTAATGGAAAATTTGTCATTGCCAGCATGTTACTACAACTTTTGTTCTTAATCCTAGCTTACATAATATAATGTACATTTAGTAAATAAATTTAATAATATTATTATGAGTACCAATGCACAGCAATTGTGGACAGCACAAAAGCTTTTACTATCTATATTAATTCTAATATATTTGAATGCATATTGTATACCATGATAATAAAACAAAAAACAGCTATTCTTTTTTTGAAAAAAAACTAAATTTTAAATAAAAATAGTCCCATGTTATGCAAATTTTTTAATAAGTAAATTAAATTAAAGACACTTTTTTTATATTTATTATTAATTAAAATATTGTGAAACTCCTGGCCTAACTCTAAATCTAACTTTATTACTAAGTATTACCTTTTGGTTTAAGTGATACACTTGATTCATTTTCGTTGAACTCTTCATCATAAAAAGTCTCATCTAATATTTGATTTGTTTTTTTACCTAAAATATACGAAAAAAAATTAGATGTTTTATACCAAGTTAAAACTATTTTACCATTTTATAGAATAAAAAATTTTCATTTCAATTAACAAAAATAAATTTATTATACTAAAAAGATTTATTCTGTATAAAAATAAAAATTGCCATATTTTTAGTTCTATCAATATAGTTTTTTAAAATAAAGATATAATAAAATTTTATTTATCATTATGTTTCAAATGATTCAATAAATATTTAATAACATTTATGTGAAAGTTAAATAAATATTGATATCAAAACAAAAACAAATAGAAAAAATGGCCAAGTTAAATTGAAGTATTATTTTTTTATTTGGTACATTAAGGTATACCACTAAATTTGATACACATCTTTTCAATTTAAAGAAGATGAATACCCATAAATGTACTATTAATATCCATACTAATAAGCATCATTATAATTTACTTACATTTAATTGGAACTCCAGAGGTAACTTCAATAGATTTCTGTTTTTTGGTTGAATGATTTTCTACAAATAGTTTTTGTTTTATATTATTAATTTTATGAAAACAGTCATAATTGCATTTTAATAAGAGGGTTATTTTTAATTTGTTCTTTGTAGATAGATACTTACTTTGCTGTGTTACATCTATTATTAAATTTTGAACTGCTTGATCATTAATGAACTCCACTAAAATTTCATTTTTATCATTACTTAGTGAATCCATAGTAATGCTCTAGTATTTACAATCTCATACTTCAAAAATATCAATAAAAAAAAAAAAAAAAACCATTGAAGTTTATATATTTCAAATAAATTAAGTCTTTAATAGACTTTAGTTTTTAATTTATTTGCTATCTATAGTTGTTAAAACTAAATTCAGGCTTAAGGATTACAGAGTTTCAACAAGGCAACAATACAGTCAACAGTGTTAATAGATCACTATTTCTGTCATAAAAAACTTAAATAATAAATAATAATAAACAGTTTACTATTTACACTCTACTATTCTATATTTATAGTATCAGTTGATAGTTTCCAAATTCTAATTTCTAATTGGTATATTATATAAACTTGGTTCGTACTGTTCGTAGGAAAATGAAAATATTTCCCTCGGTTTTTGACTGGATATCATTCTAACCTCAAAACTTAGCAAAATGTTATTTATTTTATATCCAAATAAATTTTCATCCAATTTAATGTTATTAAACAATAAAATATTATGAAAATTAATAATTTTAAATTGTGTGCTTAATAAAAGCTATGAAAATTATAAAATATAATTATTTTTGTTAAAAATTTAAATATTTAACTATAACTTCTTTGACAAGCATTTCTTTTGAATTGATTGATAAGACGTTACCTTATTATCATTCAAATAATATAATTTGTCTATTATATACTTTCATACTTCTGTGTTAAGTCTTCAAGTTTCAATTATTGCAATTCGTGTATGCGTAAACAATTAATACTGAATAATGTTAGAACTCTCAATGTTTTTTATACCTCGTAAAATAATAAAAAAATAATCAAGACAATGATTTAAAATGTATTAATAATCATATTATACAATGGCAAGTATAAAGACTGAGGTAACCATGTCGGACAACGGAGATGATGACCAGTGGTTGTATGGGGACTCAAATTCAAATTTAGACCCTGTCGGTACATTAGTCGAAGATATTAAACCAACTGAACCAGCTGGTATTTTAGAAGATGATGAGGTACTGTTTGAGAATAATTAGTTAGAAAATATTTTTTTAAATTGTTCTTTACTTTTAGGAAGCACGACTTATGGAGTTTTTGGCAAACCCTGGACCAGGTAACATTTTAAAATTAATATCTAGATTTAGTAATTTTAGTTTTAGACTTTATATTAATCTTTTTCAAAATTAATTATAATTAAAAACAATAAAACATTTTTTTTTCATTTTATAATATAGTTAATTATATTAATGTATAAGACAGGTAACTTCAATTCACTTGTTTAAAAATGTTTACGGCTAGCATGTACATTTACTAATTACTTACCTTTTTAAGCTAGAATTTTTTTGATAATAGGTTTTATTAGGATTTTATTTTACTATGAATTTAACTTGTTACTTTATTTTAACTTTATTTTTTTATAAGTTAAAGACTTTTTTGTTCAACATCTATAATTTTAAATCATAAATTAATGATATATATTTTGTTTATGCAAAATGTAGGCACATAAAATAAACTGTTTAATTTATATTTACTTTTTGGTTATTTTATTAAAGGAAGTATAGAAGTTCCACCTACTGTAAAAGAATTAGTTAATGAAGATCCCAATCGACCTCGAAGTCCAGAAATATTTTTGGGTGGAACAGGAATCAAAGCTGAAGCACTAGTTAAACCTTCAGAAGATTTATTTGAAACTAACCTGTCAGAAATTGCAACTGAAGTAGGCATTAATGTTCCTGAAAAAGTAGCTGAAGAAAATAATGAAGATAAACAAATATCATCTGAAGATAGTGAAGAAGATAGTGATGATGACATTGTTGTGGCAGCTGGAAATTTTACATTGTCTTCTATGGAAAATAATATGGTGTCACTTTCACAACAAAATAATGCAAGCCCATCAACTGCTGGAATAAATTTGAAACGAAATAATTTATTAACATTAACAAATATTCCTGGAATGTCATCTGGAAATAAAGTAAGCAAAATAAATTGATTTTAATATATTCATATAATAACATAAATATCAATATTTTAGAATATTTTTATTGAATAATAAAGTTGGTATTAAAAAATATTTATTTAATTATAGATCAATCTTTTTTATTAGAGAATAAATATTTTTTTAATTTGGTGATATAAATAACATTTAGTCAAAAACACATCAAACCATTGCTTTTTAAATATACTAATATATAATAATATAGTGAATCAAAAAATAAAAATTTCTAGTCATTTATGTTAATAACTAAAATGTTATATCTTATCTTTTAATATGTTTATTGTTATACTAAAATAGTATGTTTTGATAATATTATAATATAATGTAAATTGTAATTTTAGAAAACCTTTGTATGCTGCTAAAACAACTGTTTTGAATTAAAATAATATAATAAATAAGAATTTTGGTAATTTGAGAATAATATGCTATCAGACTTTTTATAAGTCATTGGAATAATCAATTATTATAATTTTTTGGTTACTGCATGATTATCAATATCTTAGACACAAAAACCATATTTATATATTTTTCTTAAAAATTAGATAGTTTATTAATTTTTAGATAAGGGTCATAACTTATTAATAAGCCTTCTTAAAAAAATTGTAAGTTGAGATTGAAGGCTAGATAATAGTTTAGTAAACTTTTATTATACAAACAATGAAAAACACTTAATTTATATTGCTAATTATGTGAAATTATTTTAAAATAATAAATATAATTGTTATTAGGTATTCTAAAAATATGTTTTATTATTGTATTTACGTATTAGCATCAAGGAAAATTTAATGTTGAAGATTTTGAAGGTATGGGCACCATAAATGGTGTTCCTGCTCATGAGTATTCTATTGAAACTACTGAAGAAAAACCATGGTTAAAACCTGGTGCAGATATCACAGGTAAAATATTATTAATTATGTAAGTGTATACTGTATTACACTAATATTTGTTTATAAGTTAAAGTCAGGTCATAACTAAGTATTTATTTTTTAGATTATTTTAATTATGGATTTAACGAAAACACGTGGTTGGCATATTGTGAACGTCAAAGGAAAATGCGGTGTAATGAATCATTAGTTGGAATGTCGACATTAGCTATGCATAATCAACAAGTTTCTATAAGTACTACAAATAATAATATGATTCCAACTTTGGATGTTAAATCTAGTGCTAAATTTCAAGCACCAAATAATCCTCCAAAAGAAAACACTATTGAGGTATGTAGTATACAGTGTCATACAATGATTTCCATGTTCCCTAATTTAATAAGTATATTTTTGTTAGATACTTGTTTATTAATGCATTTAATAATTGTGCAAAACTTATATTTATTTAATTTTAATAACATATATTTAGGTTATGACTGCTGAGAGGAGAGAATATAGTCGTAAACATTTTTCAACTCCTGATTTAACAGTACCCCCTCCAATAATTCCTACAAATTTTGATGTACCTCCACCAATGATTCAAAATTCTATAAATTCTATACCACCTCCTGGGTAAGTATAAATTTATAAAATAATCTAATAAGTATTAATTAATATAATATTTTTGAATACATAATTTAGATTTGGTCCTCCGCCAATTAATGTGCCTTATGAACCAGAATACTATCCTCATGAACCAGATCCATACTATAATGCTTTTGAACCTACTCAAGATATGCAATGGAATCAAGTAACTAAATACTTGTACTACATTTTATTTAAACTATTTCAATTGTGTGTTTAACCAACAGAAATGAACATATTTATATGTAATTACATTAGTATGCACAGACTCAGGTTTTAGAGGCAGTATAAGAATAATCCAGCCCATAATATCACTTTAATTTTAGATATTAAAATTAAAAATGTATTGATTAGTTGTGATAAAGATAAATTGATGATAATATAGAGACTATTCTAATAACTTTTATATTCTGTGATAATAATTTAAATTTAAAATTATTTTTTCGATAAGGTGTATATTGGGTTGTATTATACACCTATAATTCTATAATTATTAATAATTGTTTTTGACTATATATTTATTGTACATAATTTGTAGAAATATAACAATTTGGAGATAAAATTGACTTTGGCCCATAATTAAATACTTAATGGCCGTGATAACCATAAGATAAGTTTGTGGACATTATATGCTGCCTCCATGTGCACTGCTATATAATGTGTATACTGTATAAGCTAGCTATTTTTAACCTGTGATCCACGACCTTCTAGAAGTCCACGACAACCTTAACACATAATATACGTCATTATGTGAAATGAATGCATTATTACAATATTGTTGGATTCTTATTTTATTTTTATTTTCATGTATAATATATCTTATTATATAAAAAGATTATTGTTTTATCTAATTTATATTAATTTTTTTATGAAAAATTAAGTGTAATAAAAATTATTATAAATTTATAATAACATAAGATGTTTTGTGAAAAAAAAAAAGTTATTTGAAAAAAATTGGTAAGGGGGTCTGCAATTTCTAAAAACCTTTGATCAGAGGTCCATAATCTATAAAAATTTAAGAATCACTAGTATAAGCTATAAAGTTAGAATCTTTTAGACAATAATTGCTGTCATTTTTTCTTTTTAGTGATATTATTTGATTGATATTTGTTTTATATTATATAAAATCTTATTCATAATCTCTGGTTATAAATTTTCTTTATGGTATAATTACTATAATTATATAAATATGATTAAAATTGGCTATGTTTTATTAAAACTGTTTTTTTTTTTTTTACCAATTAGAACTGGACTCCAAACGTAAAAAGTATAGAGAACATTCCAACTCTGTCAAATGGAGATTCATACAATAAAGCAAGACCATTTATTTAATTTTTATTGTTGTGAATTTATAGTTTAATACAGTGTTTTTATAGGAATTGGTAAGAGATAAAGAATATTATGCATCACGTGTTAAAAAAGAACCAGAAGAAAGAACTTATGAAAGAGATCGTGAGAGTCGCAATCGATACCGTGAAAGAGAGAGGGAGAGAGATCGTGAACGTGATAGAGACAGAGACAGGGAACGCAGCAGACATAGAGAAAGGTTAGTATTTTACTGTTTATAATATTACTAATAATAACATAGATATTAAGAGGACACTGCACTCGCATGTGTTTTTCCGTTTTACGATAAGTAAATTCTCGTTCACCAGTTCCATTAGTAAACTTTTAGTTTTGATATTAGAATGAATTGAAATTATCAAACTTTTAGGTAAGAACATTATCTGTGTTCTCTTGTTTGTTTTTTATGATATTTTAATTTTATATTTTTCATGTTCGTAACTCACTTAAAAATTAAAATATCGTAAAAAACCAACGAGAGAATACAGATATCAAAACTAAAAGTATACTGTTGAAACTAGTAAATGAAAATTTACTATATTGTATGTGTGAAGGACGGAGGTTAGGTTTATTTTATTATTTTTAATTGTCTAATATATTTTTAGTGATGGTGTTGAAAGTCCAGAAACAAGTTACAAAGAAGAGAGAGAATACAAACACAAGTAATTAAAATTATATTATTTTATTAGTTTAAATTAGGTTTTCCTCAAGCTTAGGACAAGTATATAAAAATAAAAATGTTTTTATCAGGTCTCATCGTCATCGCTCTCGAAGTCGTAGTCATGAAAAACGTTCTAGGAAACACAAGTCTCGTAGTAGAAGTGGATCTAGACATCGTCATAAAAAGAAGAAAAAGAAGTCTGAGAAGAACAAGGAAGATGATAACAGTGAATAATTTTCTGTTATCATGATGTAAATTTAAACAATTTTTTTTAATCATTATTAATATTATTTACTCTTCATTTCATTGAGTTGTTAATGGTAAATGGTAATTTGAGGATTATTACAACTAATTCTGTATTGAACTAATGTTACATGAAGTACACATTTTATTTACAAATTGAATTGATAATTTCACCTTTGATTATTATTATTATTATAATTATAATAAGTAAACGCTACTACTAAACAATAAAACTTACGTTGTTATGTTAAAAATTAAAATTATACATTTCATTTTTTTTTATGTAAAACTGTTTATTTAACATGAAGAATTAATTAAAATAAATTTAAAATATACATATTAGTATATTATATATTTCATTACTAAATATTGTCATTTAATTTTCTGATTAATAAATAATGGCAATATTCCAAACTTCAAACAATGTTAATTTAATATAAATTAGCAACTTATTTTGCTCAATTATGTTAAATAAAAGACTAAAATCCATGAAATGTTTACTTTTATTTTACTACTTATTATTTGACAGAAGGTTAACCTAACCTTAACTACTAAATAAGAATAAGTATAGTTGTCAAAATACATAAAATTAAAAGTAAACTTTTTGTGAATTTTTTTTTTTTAATATTTTATTATCTAGTATATTCTAATGTTACTGAGGTATAAGAAAAAAGCACAACAATAATTTTAGTAACATTTTTTTTTTTTATATATTAGGTTTAATCAAAAATTAAAAATATAGGTTTTTTATAATGTAAATATGTCCTAATGACCACCGCCAATTTTTAACTTGGGTAAAAACGCCACTGCAATAAATGCAACTGAAAAAAAAATAATAATAGTTTCTCTTAAACTTATTACTATTACTGTTCCACTGTCTGTCTACTGTATAGTTTACAATATATATTT